TTTTTTTTTTTTTTTACAGTAATGAAACATGGGAAGTAGTGGAGTTGTGCATATATCCCCAGAGAGACCACATTGCCAAATCTTTTTTTATGTGGAAGGAAGCTGGAGTATATGGAGAAAACCCATTCGTTCACAGGGAGAGCAAACACAAAGGCTGGGATCTGAAACTCAGAACCATCATGCTGCAATGCATCAGTGCCAACAAATATACCACCCTACAACAAAATCTGACCTATTGTGACATTAAGTGCAAAAATACTTTATCAATCCCGAAAGGAAATTAAACGTAACTTGTTGCCTTTTTTTCAATAAGATATTGTCCAAGTTAATGGAGGCTGGCAGCAAGGACCTTCTGTTGTGGTCTGTCTTAGGCCGAATATGGGGAAGCCTTTCACTGAATACACTGTCGATGTTTTACAGTCAGATGCTCACCGTTGTCCATGATCTCTTCATTTTATGAAGAATTGTTCTTTGTGAAATCATTTCCAAAGGTCCTAGAGGAGTTCCTAGAACAGAGCTTGCTTTCTTAAACTTGAAATTGAGTTTTCCTGAAAAATTTCTTCTCATGCTGTTACCCAACAGATGATGGCAGAAGAGATCACATTCTCCTCTTAAGACTTATAGAAGATGTGCAGGACCTTGGCTGCCTTAAGAAGAACAATTTTCTCAGTCCTTTCTTGGTATCAGTGTCACAGGCTGAGCCTTCTAGAATATCTGACTAACTAAATCCAGCTGAATAGTGTTAAAAACACTGGAATAATCAAAGATCATCCTTACAGTGCTGTCTGCCTTGTCTAAATGACAGTGGGTTTGTGGAAGCAGGTATATAATGTCCAACATCTCCAACTTCACAGCAATAAGCAAACTATGTGATTTCTGCTTTGCTTCCTCAGGTGAACACACAGACATGTCCCTTTTAAACCACCTCCATTCAGGCTTGTTCTTCACCCCACCAATTTCTAAATGCATCACTCCTTTTTCAGTACCAGTGCTTCTGAACTTTTTATGCCCTTCACAACTCGGATTTTGGGAAAACTCAAAGTGGGAATGGATTATATACATAATATACAAAGCTTTAAAAGACAGAAATCGTGGTTCAATTAATTTGAAATTGAAAACCCAAGGTGATGGGAGGGTCATACTGTTGAGCTGCTTTTCTACACCAGGGAAAGGGACACTGGGTTGATGGGAAGATTGGAAGTAATAAAGAACATTTTTTAAGTTTATTGTATCATGTATTGTATCATATGAACAGGTTTGTGGTTCTAACTTTAATTTACGTAAAAAAAATAGTATTTTTTCTGCACATAGCATTCTTATTTGAATAACATTCTATTATGAGCATCCAAGTGTTCTTGAAAACAGATAGTCGTGAAAATCTATGAATGTTGGACAAAATCTAATTTCATATTAAATTGTGAGACCTTTAAGTATCTAAAGCCATTGCATAGAACAATAATAATGTGCCACTGCAATTTTGTATTAAACTTATGTATATCCATTATTCATTGTCTGGGGTCGCAAGGGGTGCTGGTGCCTATCTCCAGCAGTCAATGGGCGAGAGGCGGGGTACACACTGGAAGGGTCGCCAGTCCATCACATGGCAACAAAGAGACAATTAACCATTCATGCACACACTCACACCTAAGGAGAATTTAGACAAGTCAATTAATCTAACAATCATGTTTTTGGACTGTGGGAGGAAGCCGGACTACCCAGAGAGAAGCCAAGCATGCTCCGGGAGAACATGCAAACTCCATGCAGAAAGACCACAGGCCGGGAATCGAACGCAGAAACTTCTTGCTGATATATATATATATATATATATATATC